TGTGATGTGATGTGATGTGATGTGATGTGATGTGATGTGATGTGATGAGGGAGACCTCAGACATCAGGGAGGGGAGGCTTTGGGATACTATCAGGCCCCAATCTCATTGAGCCTTCTCATTGTACTAACAAGGTCACTGAGGCAGACTTGTTCAGGGTCACGTAGCTAGCAATTGTTTGAGACAGGATTTGAACCCAGTCATCTACTTGGCCATGCTGCCTCTCAAGATTTAGAAGGAAGACATGGTGACATGTCCCATCTGCTAAACTTCATTTTGACTCATGGCTTCTCTGGTTCCCTAGTTTGAGCTCCATCTTTTCCAAACCAATTGCCAGCGCTCTGGCCAAGGTGTCAGCTGTGTTCTGATGCCTCTCTGAGCTCCCCAGAGAACATGTTCAAAAGAGAGAACAGTTCTTTCTATTGAATTCTTTTACACTGAAAACTGTCACAAGACCACTCAGGATCCTTCTCCCACTCCTTTGAGAGCCCACAGCCCCACTCTCTCTTAACCATATCTCCAGCCTCATCAGAACTAGGCAGCCACCAAACCAGCCATGGTCAGAAGGCCCTGGCCGTGGGGGTGGGGGGTGGGCATCAGGTGGCTAGTTTTCGGAAACTCCCCTGCAGAGTGACCTACTTCTGACAATTCCAAGAAACCTCCCAGTCACCTTCAGGCAACTTCTGTGGTTACCGCAGGATTAAAATATTTCCTCCTCTTACTGATCACTTTACTCTCCTGTTCACTTAATAGCTGCTAAGAACAGAGGAAGCTGGGAGAGGCATGTTTGAACCTTTCACTTACCCCTCCTTTGTTTACAGAATGACTGAATTGAAATAACTCTTAGCAGGTCGGGCTCAGAAAACTGAGTGACTGTCAGTAATCATAAAGGCTGATGGTGGGGGCCAGTGCTCTTTACTGTCTTCCCTGATATGATCTGTAACAGAAGACCACTGTAGAGCATGCCACTTCTCCCTGCCCCCCCGGCCCCAGAACATCAACTTGCTTCCTATTTTTAGTGCCATTATCCATCATTCTCTTTTCTTTTGAAAAAATAAGTTTCATTGATGACCTTCATATCACAAGTCATTTCTGGAAAGACCTTCCCCCTACTCCTCTTCTCTACCTTGATCTTGAACCCCCTCCCCCCATCAAAGAAAAATAGTCATGCAAAAACACCCTGTACAGTGACTGTCTCAACAGATGCAACATTCTGCCCATCTCTTTTCCAAGAAAAGGGAAATAATGGTTCATTGTCTGTGTTCTGGAACCATTTTTATTGGTTTTTCAGTTTTGCAGAATTTCGCTACCTTTTGGTGATCTTTTTCGGTTACATTGTTGTATTTGGGAAGTATGGTGATCTTTTTCAGCTATATTGTTGTGTTCGGGAGGCGTTGTCCTAGGGCTAATTCATATTGGCTCCCAAGAGATGATTGTTAAATTTTCAGTGTGAGCATCTGTACCTCAGAAATTAGCAAATGCTACAAGTTAGGACTTGGTTTATTGTTTTGTTGATTATCTAGACTTAAGAAAATGATGGAGAAAATGTTAGTAATTTTGGATTAAACTTAAAAGTGTGTCCAGCTTACTTGCCCCCCTCCCCGAGAGCTGAGTGTTAAACATTTCCCAGCTTATGCCTTTGGTCATACTCATTGCATATATTATTTTTGTGGCTTTGTGTATTTTTCTCATTCTGGTCATACAAGTCCCTCTCATTCATCATTTCTCACAGCACAGTGCTGTTCTTGTATCCATCTACCCCGATTTATTCAGACATTCCCTAGCTGATGAGCACCTGTTTTGTTTCTGTTCCTTTGCTTCCACAAAAAGTGCTGCTGTGAATATTTGGGTGTCTATGGGGCCTTTCTTCCTGTTTTTCACCTCCTCTGGGTATAGATGTCCAGTAGTGGGATTTCTGAGTTAAAGAAGCAGTCAAGTCATTTTCACTGTGTATGTATTTGCTAGAAGCATGTTGCCTTGACTCTCCCCCTATAGATTAACAACCCATTTGCCTGAAACCTCTGATCCCACTGATAGTGGCAGATGCTACCCAGTAACACAGTGTGTGTTCAACAAAGGGTCCCTTTCTTTGGACCGATGTGGTTTGACCATTGGGGCGTGTAGCTAGAAGGCATGTCTTTGCTACCATTCTATGCCACTCTTCAATCCACACAGGGGATTGTTCCCATGTCACCGTGTGCTCAGAGGACTTTGTCCAAGCGCAGCCACTAAGGTATGATAGATTTCGTGAACTCTTTTGTTCTCATTCCCTCTCACTGATCTTTTCCTTAGTGGAAACACCTGCAGCACTGACTCACTTCCTCATTGGCAGCTCAGGTGTATTTGTCATTTCCTCATTGGGAAAATGAGGACATTTCCTAGAATCACGGAGTGTGCTGGCTGGAAGGGACATCAAAGGTCATTTAATCCAACCCTCCCCTGAATCAGCAAGCCCCTCTGCCCCAGACGAATGGCTGTCCAAAGTCTGCTTGGTTCCACCAACCGTAGCAGCTTCTTTGACTAGGAATATCTCTTACTTGTAGGAAGCTCACCTTCTCCTGAGCCAAAATTGGTCTCCATATAACCTCCCCTCCTTGGGTCTGATTCTTCCTTCCCAGTCCTAGCTGAACAAGCCTAATCCAATCCCTCGTTCACACAACACTTGCTGTATTGTGTTCTGTTCTTGTCATCTTTAATCTGGGTTCCTTTAATTCTTGAATGACACTACTTTGACTCCCCCCCCCACCCCATTGTAGCCCCTGTCCTTTGGACATCCTATCAATATCCTTCTATGATGTGGTACCAGGCCTGGATATGGTCCTCCGGATGGGTCTGACCAGAGTGCAGAGTGGTCCAAGTGAGGT